GTCTAGGTACCTTTTTCGAGTTGACACGTTTTAGGATGGTGGCTAGACGATCTTGCTCCAGCTTCACAAGCGTTCACAAGTTTTACCAGAGTGAGATTTGTAAACCGGAACCAGGGAAGCAATTATAATACAAAATGCCCCCCCCGTCGATAAACAGCGCCCGTTTATGGGGTCAGAGTTATCAAAATCTCGAGTAGCTTCATTTTCATGAAACACCACTTATTTCAGTCCTTCGCTGGCCGCTTTAGGCTTTCCGCCGTTGCATGCGAATAGCACTAGTCCGATGGTCACCGAGAGTCCATCTCCAGGACAGGTAATTCTAGAGTAATTTTTATAGCGAGAATCAAAGTTTTTCCGCTGTTATCGGCTCAAGGTGGATTAGAAGTAGAAGGCACTCAATAACACGCTCTTTCTTTTGGGATTTCCTATATCGTTCTAGAGTACCACCAAAACATTTCCTACGCTCTTAACAAACGAAATGTTCAGCTTGACAGCTCCAGAAGTGGTACCCAGGGTCGTTGCTCGTCTCTAGAAATTGAAGTGAAGCAAGAGTTCTGCCCATCGTATGGAAACTTGTCGCTAATCAGCGATCATGAAAAATCAGTGGCAATGGTTTCATCCAGTGGCACCGTGCTATCAGAATCCGAAGTGGACGAATTGCTTCGGCTGGTGAGGCAAACAACTTCTCGCTTTATTCTTACAGATTGCTTCTACTTTTTCCTTATTTTGTCTCCTTTGTCGGGACACCACTAAGGCCTCCACAAAGAAAATAGCCCAGTGAATGAAAGGCGCCTAGGTATTACGTGATAGAAATGTTGAACCTGCTTGAATACAGGGGGGGCGCAAGGAGAAAAAAGTCATTTGCGTCTCCATGACTATTCAGGCGGCTGATAAGTTAACTTTATTAAATTTTATCGGTACTATTGTTTACTAACATATTAAAGAGCACATTAAATACTATAATGATACTCCGCCACAGCCTTCTGGAGGAGCGCCATCGAGAGATTCGGCCGCGCGAAAGTGAGTGGGTAAGAGTTGAGCGAGATCGTTGATTTCTCCGCCACTGCAGACCACCCTGTTGAGCTCCGCCCGAACCGAGTAATTGAGGGGGTTTAGTTCAGGACCCCCGCTTAAATACTCCATCTTTTCCAGGTACTCAACGTTCTTCCATTCCAAGTAGGCGAAAGTTTTTCCAACGCCCTTCGATTAAATGTGTTGTCACCCAATCCTGTAGCAGTACAAAGTTTCCAAGAAGGTACGGCGCGACGACATGGATGGGATATTCTCCTCGAGTTGCTCGATGTAGCCACCAGCGCACACCCTCAGTCTGGGGCCCACGAAGAAAATATCGGTTCATCCATTCCAGGTACGGCCGGTCCACACCATCAACCCGCGCCTTGGTGAATGGGGTGAAGATGATGTCCTGGACCGTAGCGACGTTGCCGGAGCTGCTCGATGTTTGAGGTCTTGCAGAGAGTACTGGTCTCCAGGTAGCTATCCATGGGTGATTCCATTCAAGAAGTTCCGCAGCTGTTTGGAGGCCACGTGAATTCCAAAGGCGTTCTCCACTCAGGCCGCGACTGGAGATGACTTCATATTTTGGTGTACATGAAGGTGAATGGCGGCAGCCGGCTCCTGCTTATAGAGGAAGATCTTGGGTATCTTCCGCCCTGGTACTCATATCCACTTCCTCCTGTCTGGCTCGAATCTTCGCTCATATGTGACTTCGGCCGAGATGACTTTTTTTGGCCACACCCCCCCCTGTATGTGCTCCCTTCGAAAGAAACTTCCAGTATGTTTACGGCTGGCCATCTCCCACGAACTACCCATATCCTATATGTTCTTCATATTACTTGAACTCATGTTCAGGTACTTTCGAAGAAAAACGTCATTCTGAATGAAGCGGCCGATGAAGAGTCGAAGAACCGTGCATGGCGACATGTTCACGAAATCCTCAGTGGAATCACTCAGACTGCACCAACTGTCGATCAACTTAAAGAGATTTTTCATAGGAAACGACATCATATCAGCGATATCGTTTTGAACTATGCCAAGTGAGTGATTGCTTTCTTGCTCCCCGAACAGGGCAATCTAGGCAGCCGTTTAGCAGGGCCTTCTTTCCACTACTACTTCTGAAACCGCTCATTTCATTTTTCTTCCTCTTCTAACTTGAAGTACACTCCATCTCCGTCACTTGCTTGGCTTTCTCTATCTCTAATCTCCAGAACAAAACACGTAATTGAGGTTTGGGGGCGAGCCACCTGATAAGTTACGACTACCTCGTCGACGATTTTTTCAAACCAAGCGTGCCTTGATCAAGGATTTAGATACTACAGACATCCTAATTAGTTTCACTGTTTAGAGCTGACGCCTTTACGGCACACGGATTTGCTCGTTATATCCACAGCATAGTGAATAAATGCCTTCCAGAAGGCTCATTCACAGCTCGAGAACGCGAACTTGGCACTTATATACTGAGAAAATCCCTTCTTCCACTTGAGGTGAGCATTAGTGTTCCACTGGTATTATAGAACAACTCCAACTCATGTTAAGAAGGCACCAGGATACTTGTTCACTTGTTTATTTATGCTCTAGTTTATTTATTTGCTCGGCTATTGATTTATTCGTTCATTTAGTTATTCGAACATACCCGAAAGCGAGCCGCACAACTCAGTAAAGTAAGATGCAAGAGAACAAATAAAGTTACCTTCTACACTTTTTTCTGTGAATGGGTCAGCACACGTGCCATAAAGCATCATAGGCCTTGCTATAGTCCAATGCAACTTGCCCTGGGGTGCATTCGAACAGCCGATGTCGATGGACTAGTGCTGAAACCTTCACCGTACTCTACAGTACGGTAACGATCACAGCAATCCATTAAGTTCACATACAAGCAATACCGAAATGAAATGAAAAACAAGCCAGAAATAGCCTCTTTAAATGGTTTCCATGTGTTTATTAGTCAATGAACCAACGTGGTCTCTGAACCAACAACCGAAAGTAATCCACAGTAGTGACTTGTTGAAATATTCCATTCATGCATGTTACGGAAACAAAATTTTTGTGTATCCATTAGCGAAAACGCAATAATGCTCTCAAAAGTACAAGTCTAACTTGCTCTAGCTTTTCATTTTCTGCGCTTCTGTATGAAACTGAACAGCAATTCTGTGAATATCTTTAAAGAGAAGTTCACGTGAGTCTTCCGTTGACGTGAACGCTTCAGACGACATCTCCGTCGGCAAAGAAACGTCGTTTCGCTGATGTTGCCAATGGTGAGGACGATGAGCAATCATGTCCTGGGATTTCCACCATTCGCCAAGAAGAAATTGAAAAGGTAGGCTGACTATTCCAACACTATTTTTCATGCCTTCTCAACTTTTTGACTCTGACGATGTTCGTTTCCTTTTGAGAATAAGTGAAAAAACAAATTTGCTGCCCATACACGCTGCCATTTTGGCTCTTATCCTATCAAAGTATGCCCACGATTTTTCAGATCATGAGAGCCGAACAACCGAAAGATAACAGCTGTGGTTGCCGTTTCAAAGACGAGTGCCTCAAAAGTAGCCTTCTGGAGATGGTAAAGGTAAGTACTGCTTTTTTTCTGCCAAGGAATTCAGGTCAGAGCCGTCATCTGTACCGATCCTTCTGAGATTCAACGTATAATTTTGAATTCACTAGCATGGCTGTATGAAAGGGAAATAGCGCCACAATTCCAAAGACTCCACGTTAATCGCGTAGGCGGAGTCACTTGTGGCCGCGCACCCTCCTCATTGGTGCACCATTTCTCTCGAAAAGGGAATGGACGCACCACTGGAAATTATGCCGTTTGAAAGGGAATACGCCTATGTGGTCATCCCTTTGAATGAGATGAGTCTTTCAAAACAACGGACCCGAAGAAAAAAACTTGGGCGCTAATCCGAAATACCACGAGAGCGTACCGAATAGGGTTTTTTTGGAGGCAGAGCTCAAATTCATTCGATGTTTCAACGCCTTCTATGGATATCGTAGCCCCTCGTACGATGATGGAGGACGTGCTAATTTCGCAGCCCAAATATACGAGAGGAAAGCATTGCTCGCTCGCATTTTTGAGCTGCAATTACTACGTCCTCCATCCTTGTACGAAAAGCGACGATATCCAAAGAAGGCGAGAGAACAACGAATGAACGCGAGCTCTGCATTTGGATCCCAAACCAGCCGATGGACGAAGGTTTGTCTGGTTGCAACCAAAAGACCCAGTAGAGATGGAGGCTTTGTTGATCAGGAACGGAATCGAGAATGGGCAACAGGCATAGTGCGCGTGCGCACAGCGGTGCCACTTGCCACTGTACCGCTTCAGCCGAAATTGACTAAAACAATCTGAAAAAGACAGTACTATTTTCCCTCTCACGGAAGTTGTGATCTGCATGTTTGTTTTAAATTTTTACGTTCACATGTTTGAGTGTATAATCAAACAATATTATTTTGTCAAAGAAACACTGCATTCTAATGAAATGAGTGAATTTGAAATTTCTGAGTGAATATGGGGATCCGGCAAATGGCGCCGCTATTTCCTGGATCAAATCTAATCTACCGCAGAGTCTGCGTTTGCAGTTCGTGGATTATTATGGTCAGACATGAATCTGCCATTACTAGTTGACTCACCAGCGAAGAAGAAAGCGAGAAAACCCGTCGAAAACGAGCTCTCGATGAGGTACAATTTCCAGCATTGGATGAGCAGTGAATGTATGTACTGTGAATAGAGCCAGGGGCACTCCTGCCATTGGGGACACTGAGGAAAATACGACATCACTCAAAATTTCTTCCTGCTCCTCCCCCTTTCCCCTTTCGTCCAACCTATCTACCATCTTCCCGAATTTTCCCAACTTCTTAGTATGTGGCGCACATAAACACGGAAGTCTCAAACCGGAAACTTCCCTCACTTCCCTACTGAAAAGGCAAGTACGACTCCCTCCCTCTCCCTGCGCAATAGGATTGCCTCTAGATGTATTCGCCCTAATAGGTCATCGGGCGGCCAGCGCCTCGAAATTTACTGAAGAAAGGTATGTCGGTACTCTGACAAGTATGGATGGAAGCCGTACTGAAGAAAGGCGTCGGCAGGAAGTCAGCAGTATAAGCCCTTATCTTCTCGATTTCCATTGAAATCGCAGACGGGATACTGACAACTTTCTCCTGATATGTGCCTGGACCTGCTCATTGTCTACGTAGATGATCTTCAGCCGCAACATGAGGATAAGAACGTTTTCCCCCAAATCGTTTCCAAATTAATCGTTCGGACTGTCGAAGACGTGGCGCATCTCGCATAGGGAACACTCGAGGCCAAGCTGCTCATAAATGTGTTGCTTCTGAAACGAAAAAGGAAAAATCGACTAAATAAAAGTAAATAAATAAAAGTTGTTGAATCGCGTTTTCCTCTGAAAGATCGAATAATGCTTATGACTAGTTATAGGCCCAGAAGGAATACTTCAAGATAGCTGCTGAGGCTCAAAAAGAACAACTGCGGCTATTTTCTTCTTTGGGAGAAGTGCTTAATCAGGTCTCGCGCCAAAACTATGGCACCGATGAGAGACTAGAGGACTCCGTCAAAAATCTGCCGATAAGATCTCGTAGATTTTCTGAAAACGTGTAGCGTTATTTGATTTCTAGGCTTTTGTGTGAAGATTTTGATTTGCTTACCTGGTAAAATATAATAATAATTCATAACAAAAATTAATATTAAAATAGTTCCTATTTGTCTCGTTTAGTGCTATTAATAAAGAAGACTTATCACTGATCTCAGCAAGGCGATTGATCTTCCGTGAAAGATAATCAACACCGTACTAAGTTTGCCGATTTATATTACTTGGCACGGAGGCGTCGTTAGTGACAAAGTGGCGCCGCACTTACCAAAACGATTCCTGTGGACATGAATCCTTGCCATCGCTTCCAGGCCAATTGAGCCCTCCACCATTTTTGGGGGGGGGTTTTCGCCTTGCTTCGTAGATGAATCGTCTGCAGGATGTAAGCACTTAATAGATCGGCTGTTCCAGACAAATAATTTTGCAGGCTAAACGACTTATTAGTTTCCTGATCGAGGGTAGAAAGCATGGCGCATCTCAAGTAGGATTGGACTTTGTTCATCCTTATCCATTAGTGTTTAGTCAGTGGCTGGGTGAAACTGGTTGAATGTACTTATAAGAACGCTGCAGGCCAGAAAAGTATCCTGGAAATAGAAATACGGGAGGGGTGTAATGAAGACTCCCCGAACATTATGTTGATAAGGGCAGTCGACGACTTCTGCATTAGCAGGCACGTTGCTTTGCGCAACGCTGGCCCATTGAGAACACCACTCTGACGTACGGGGCGGGGGGGGGGGCAAAAAGTCACTTCGACCGAGTCACATATCAGCAAAGTTTTCGCAGCCCAGACAGAGGACGTGGATACGAGTACCAGGGCGAAAGATACCCAAGATATGTCCTTCGATAAGCAGGAGCTGGCTCTCGCCATCACCTTCATGTACACCAAAATATGAAGTCATCTCCAGTCGCAGCCTGACTGGAGAAGACCTTTGGAATTCATGTCACCTCCAAACAGCTGCGAAACTTCTAGTGTGGAGTCACCCATGGATAGCTACCTGGAGACCAGTACTCTCGATCTGGAAGACCTCCAACATCCGTCGCTATTGATTGCGGCTAGGGACATCATCTTTCACCGTCAGTCGCCAAGGCGCGAACGTTGATGTATGGACCGGACGTATGATACCATGAAAGGGTTAGACCAATATTTTCTTCGTGGACCCCGGACTGAAGGTGAGCGCTGGCAGTTACATCGAGCAACTCGAGAAGAATATCCTCCCTCACATGTCGTCGCCCGTACCTTCTTGGAAACTTTGTACTGCTACAGGTTTGGGTGCCAACACATGGAATCGAAGGGCGTTGGAAAAACTCTCGCCTTACTTGGAATGGAAGGGCGTTGAGTACCTGAAGAAGATGGAATATTCAAGTATGTCCCCTGACCTGATACTCTCTCAATTACCGAGTTTGGGCGGAGCTCAACAAGG